TGCGAATATACCACAGCTTCTCTACCCATTCGTTTGTTGATGGGCATTTAGGTTGTTTCCAACTCCTTGCTATTGTAAACAAAGCCACGATAAACATGGGTATGCATATATCTACTTGGATGCCATTTATGGTCTCTTTAGGGTATATTCCCAGTAGTGGAATTGCTGGGTCAAATGCTATCTCTATTTGAACTTGCACAATTTTATGATCCTATCAACAGCACATAAGAATGCCAGTCAGTCTCCTCAAAATCTCTCCAGCACCTGTTGTTTTCTTTTCCTTCCAGTGTTATTTTTTTCAGGGGTAAGAGGGTATCTCATGGAAGTTGATTTGTATCTCTCTAAGGAGTTCTGGTAAAGGAGTGTGTAAAATGTCAGGCTGCTGACCAAAATGTTAGCAGTTTCAGCTGCTCCACAGGAAAGAGATGGACATTTTTCTCCCAGAAAGATTTATAGCCTCAGAAACCCAACTCGCCTGAAGGTCACTGCGAGCTGGCAGTGGATGGCACTTGATGGCAGTGGATAAGTGACGGCTCATGACAATGAGCCCTTCCTGTGCCAGTTAACTGCCGGAAGGTTCTCTGTGGTGAAGTGTCCATTTATATTCTTCACTCATTTTTTGACTGGATGATTCATTTTTGTTAATTAGGGTTTTGAAGTTTTCCGTAAATTTTGGAGATTAGACCCTTGTCAAATATGTTGTTGAAAACAAAAAACAAAACAAGACAAAAACAACCAAAAAACACCAAACCCACCTTTCCCCCAGTCTTGAAGATCTCTATAAAAGTCTTTTGATGAGTGTTAAGTATTTCACTTTCAGGAGGTCCTAGATACCTACTTTATCTTCTGTTGTTTGGTAGTGTATTTATGCAATATATTAGCTCCCCTGGCTTTGTCCTGGGAGCTTTCTGGAGACCTACTGATAAGGAGTTCTCTCCACGTCAATGTGAAGGTGTTATTTTCCAGGAATTTCAGTTTTAAGTTGTATATTTTATATTTTTATCTAGCAAGAGTCAGACTAAGACATGGTGGAGCGAGCCAGGGTGTCCGTGGAGGGTCTCTCTGGGAATCGACAGCACACAAGCACCGTCAGACACCACAAGCTGGCCTTCTGCTGGTCCAGGGGAGAGGTGCAAAGGCAGGTACAATGGGCAATCATTCCTGCATCAAACATTACTGTAGAGTCTGCATACTACACAAGGCTCTGAAATAAAACCATGGAGGTCTGAGTCTCGTGGAGAAGAGAGATGAGTAAATAAGAATACCGTGACAACAGAGACCTGGGATGTTGGACAGAGAGCATGAGACGTGGTAGAAACATCACATTATTCACCCTAGCAAGCTGGGGAAAGGGCTAGAACAGCTACTTCTAGGGCTTGGAGCCGTCAGGGGGAGAGCCCTGGGCAACTGTTTTGAGAAATCCTAGGTGTCACCTTGGGAGGGTTGGTGGCATGGTGGTAAGAAGCTGTGCTGCAATCTCCAAGGCACATGGTTCAAATCCACTAGTTGCTCTATTGGAGAAGGCTGGGTAATTCGCTCTCGTGTGATTAAACTGCCTTTGAAAACCTTCTGGTGGGTCAACAAAGGATTGGTTCTGACTTAACAGCACACAATAACAACAGGCCTTACCTAAACACTTTGTGTTCAATCAAAGGCCTAGGCTTTTAGCAATGACTAACATCATGAACTGTTCAAAAGATACTGCTTTCCTCTGTGAAAACATTGCTGCAAACTGGTTTGCTTGACATTCTTGGGAAGTGACCCAAATAAGACATTTTAGTGCCTATTAAACATTATCAACAATAGAAATCACTCATATCCAACAAACTGATTAGTTACTAGGGGTAAGACAGAAACTTTCTCCTTGACTTGCTGCATCTTTTATAAATATTTTCTTTCATTACAAAATACAGATAATATTCTGTTGTTTTTCTTTTGCCTTTGTTGCCAAGGAAGCTTATAGCTAAATATGTTGTTGTTATGTGCCGTCAAATCACCTGCAACTTATAGTGACCCCATCAATGTACAACAGCCCTAGACCCTGCCCTATCCTGTGCCAATCTTACTGTCTCTGACACACCTACCCTCATTACCCCAGTCACCGAATCCATCTCTTCGAGGGACTTCCTCTCCTGCACTGTCCCTCCACTCTCCTAAGCATGACATCCCTCTCCAAGGACTGGTTCTTCCTTGCAACATATCCAAAATATGTCAGACAAAGCTTCAGAATCCTTGCCTCCAAGGAGCAGCCTGGTTTCACCTTCTCCAGGACGAAGCTATTTGTTCTCTTAGCAGTCTATGGTATATTCAATACTCTTCTCCAACACCACAGCTCAAAGGCATCAATTCTCCTTCTATCATCCCTAGTCATTGTCCAGCTCTTAGATGCATAATAAGTGATTGCAAAAACCAAGGCCTGTATCAGGCACACCTTGGTCTCCAGAGAGACACTGTTGCTCTTCAGTATTTTGGAGAGGTCTGACAGCTAACTTTCCCATCGCAATACGTCTTTTAATTTCCTGGCTGCTGGTGCCATGCTTGTTGATTGTGGAGCCAAGCAAACTAAAGCTGTTAACAACCTCAATCTCTCCACCATCCATCATGATGCTGTCAATTGGCCCAGTGGGGGGTCTCTTTGTTTTCTTGATATTGAGCTTCAATCCATATTGAAGGCTGCAGTTCTTGACCTTCTGCAGCAAGTGCTTCAGGTCAGCTAAATATAAGACATGAATATAGTCACTTATCCAAGGGAAATGCTAGTATACGTGTTTCTTCCTTATTTTACATGGCTCTGATGGCTTACTTCTAGTTAACAGTATGACTATGCATTAGTCTTAGGTCGGTACAGAGCACCATGATTGAAGAGCAATGCTGGCTTTGAGCAGAAAGGTGAAGAGGTGGTGTGTATGCTACGTGTCTTCTATCCTGGAATTAGAGAGGGCAGCCTGGTTAAGGAGTGAGCTGCAAACCAAGAGTCCTATGGTTGTAAGGAAGAAAGATACAGCAATCTGCTTCTCTAATGATTACTGCCTCCAGGGCAATTAGACTCTGTCACATGGGTCAGTATGAATCAGAATTGATTCAACGACAGAGATTTGGGGTTGGTTTTTTGAATTAAGAATAAATATGAACGGGATGACAGGTCTGAAAGCCCGCACTGAGAGTGAGCTGCACTAATGTGGCCTAGGATCTCCACCACAGCATGGCCACCACTGGTCCTTGTGCTTACTCAAAGGCCTTTCCGGCTTTAACATGGCGATCTCATGTCTCCTCAAAGAACTATACTGCACAGGGTTTCCAATGACTGTGACCTTTCAGAAGGGGATCACCAGGTCTTTTTTCTGAGGTGCCTCTGAATTCAAACTCTTGGTTAGTAGCCAAGTGCTTAAACGTTGGTGACAGTAATCTTTGTCATAAAGTTGGAACTGAGCATGGAATTGCCACAGAGTCAATTCTCTAGGTGGTGGTTATAGCAATTGCTTAAGCAACAGCAGCCTAGATAAAAAGGCCAGATGGTGCCAATGACTTATCACATCTCAGTAGCCTTGGCCTATACTGAGGGCTCTTTTACCCTGGCAAGTCCCTTCTGCCCTCAAATCTCTGTGTTCCTGACTTACGGCCCTAGGGCTCTGCCTCTGCTTAGTTATCAGAGGGGGAGATAGAAAGAACAGCATAGTATGGGGATAATTTGCAACTCAAGTCAGAGGGCAAGAAAGGGATAAGTGCTTAATTTGGAGGGAGGTGAAAAATAGAATCACATCCCCAACTTTGGAGCTCTGGTGGCCTAGTGTTAAGAACCTACACAATGTCAAATGTTCATATCTGCTCGCTGCTCCGTGGGAGGATGGACAATCTCCTCCTTTGTGATTAACTGCCTCTGAAAACCCGCTGGAAGGTCAGCTATGGTTCTGACGCGATGGTACTCAGCAACATTCCCAACTCTAAACTAGAATCAACTGCACAGGTGTCAAAGGTTTAAAATGAAGAAACCACAGAAGACAATATTGGTAAAATGTCCCTAATTCTGATGTGGGTCCATTCTACCCAGATCATCTTCCCATTTCCTGAAGCCTTTTATCAAGCTCTACCTGGAGGGAGTGCCTGAAAGATGCCAGACTCACCAGCGGGTCTCCTTCTGCATCACTAGGGGGCGCCTGCTTGCTGGCTGAGCCCTCCCGGGGCAGGGAGTAGCCATCAAAGCCCACATCTTCCGGCCGCAGCTGCAGCAGCGGGGGCCACTCGTGCTGCTGAGGGCTGGCTGCCCACGGATAGGTGTCCATCACCCACTTGGCCGGATCTTCCCAGGGGGCCCGCCTTCCATAGAGCTGTAACAGGCAAAGAAGGAACAGGTTGGAAGTGGGCCTAGTCTTCTGTAAAATCCCCCACCCCCAGCTCTGTGTCACCTCTGCTCAAGAGATGCACATTCATTTCCTTTCTGAGTTCTTTGTTGTTCTGAATAAAGAGCCCTTCTGAGGAAGTGTGTAACAGTTTGGGCTTCTAATGAAAAGGCCAGCAGTTCAAATCTATTTGCTACTTTGAGGGAGAAAGATGGCAATCTCTTTCCATAAAGACTGATAGCATCAGAAACTCAATGGAAGGCCACTCTGGATTGCACCGACTGGGTTGGCAGTGGGTGTGGTGTTTAGTACATCATCCTGATTGCCTCGAAAGAGTATGATTGCTGGTTTACACAGCATTTAAGGATGACCAATAGGAAACACTCAGCTCTTCACCAGACTCAGTCAAATGTACAGGAACAATAAACACCGGCTGATGCCATTAATTGTGTATTGTCACATGCCTGCTCCCTCAGCCTGGGAAGGCTTACAAACAAGCCCTTCTCATGTCTTCCCTTGTTCTCTATTGAAGAAACAAAGAAATCCTCAGGAACTCATCTCCTTCTCCCGCACTAAGTTCTGGCATTACTCAGCTAGGCACAATGCCTGATAATTACTCAATATTGTTGGCAAAAGTCCACGCAAGTTCAAAGTTCATAGGCTGCCTCCAGGCATAACAACAAAACTGTCACCTACAAGTTTCCATTTCAGGGTAACTATCTAGGATTAAACCTAGGGCTCTGAGTGAAAAGTGACGAAGTCATTCTTTGCAGCAGTCACAGCACAGGGGAGACTTGTAGCCTCAGGGTCCTGGGTCGGGTGGTGAGTGTCACCGGGTGGAGGGCGGGGACCTGGACCCTGAGTCAGTGGCATGAATTCAAAGCTCCTCAAGTTTCCATTTTGTAAGCCAGGGCAAGTCATTTATTCAATTTCCTTTCTCAAAAAAGTTGAATATCTTTACCCTGGTTTAAAAATTAATACAGGGCATCAATCAAATAGTAAATACGAGAATACTCTGCAAACCGTTAAGTGTGTGCACAGGTGCAGATTCATTTTTGTTGCTGTGCTTGGCTTCGAAGAACCCTAGCAACAAGTCTATATGGCCGAGGACTATTATTATCCCTTTCTACAGATGTAGAAACTAAGGCACAGAGAAGCCAAGTGACTTGCCTGGCGTTGCATATTTAATAAGTGGCTGAGTCCGATTTGCAGCTATGTTTTCTATTTTGTCTAGGCTGATGATTTATAAAGGGTTTCTACCCTATGTCTGCCAGATTCATTTAAAAAGGGACGGAGGCACCTCATCTGGTCACAAGAACATGTTGGCTTACAGAAGCCAATTGGTAGCATGCTTCTCACCTGGAGTCCTTCTCTGACGGCTTCCAGAAGATAGGGGATAATTGAGTAGTTCCACAAATCAGTGAACCACACCCTTGAGCCATCCACATCGATGGGGCATGAGAGGAAGAGCCGGGGACCTGAGAACCACAGTGAAAAATAAATCAGAGGATGAAATGGAAGAGACCAGGAGAAGCTACAGCCTAAGCATCCTGCAAGGAGGGACCTGGGAACCTCAGAGGGATGGGATGTCTGACAGCGCTGGGAGGCGAGCACAGCACACTCCCTACTCTCACCCCAAGGGTCTCTCAATGAAGTAATTCAGAATGGAGGCAATGATTTACAGAGAACAACGTTCATCACAGTATTATCAATCTTGACTTTACAAATGGCAGCACAAAAAAAATTGGTAGCACATCCTGTATGTTCAAGAGAACATGTCAAGCAGATGATGGTAGTACTGCACTTGATTACGTTGGAGTCTTTAAATTTGATGACTATAAAAACAGAATAGTAATGTGGAATGCTGAGACAACACAGTGAATAAAGGGGATATACTGTACGTACACTATGATTGCAACGACATGAATGACTGATGTAGAAAAGAACAGAAGACATAAACCTGAAATGAAATTACATCAGAATAACTGGTAGGCTTCCTGTTGCCTCTACTCTGAATCCCCAACTTTCAAGAATATTGGGAAAAGGTAGTTTTATTGAGGGGAGATCTCAAAGCAGGACTCTGCCCTGAGTTACCAGTCTGAGGTGGCTATGTATCTTGTTGATTGGTCACCCCTGCACACTGGAAAGGGGTGACAAGCATCAAGGGACACAATACAGGTGACAAATAGTCGGGAGTCCCATTGTCCTTTATCTGCATGGATAGTCCATTGTCCATCTGGTAAGTGCCTGTAAAGAAGAGTCTTGGAAAGGCCCCGAAGACAGACACCCAAGAAAGTTGAAGCTCTGAAGAATCACCTCTCCCCTCACTCACCTACCCTCTCCTGCCTGCCCCCACTCACCGATGGTGACATCTGAGGAGCTGTGAGCCTCCAGGAAGCGGTTGAGGTGATGCCAGACCTTAGGAATCCAGTCGATGATCTTAACCAGCTCCACATTCCGCACCCGCCCACTGATCTCCGTCTCCATGAGCTTCCGCCTCAGGAAGCGGCCGAGGAAGCCCTTGACGGGCTCCGTGTGGTTGGCACAAAGCACCCACCTGGGGAAGTGAGGAAGGCTTTTCAGCAATGGTGGTGGTGATGAAAATGACGGTTAATCGCAGGAATTAAAACACACCATCACTGGAATGCGTGCATGTCAGCACTAATATGGGGTTTACTATGAATCAGACACAAATGTTAACTCATTGGATTTCTCACAACACTATGACATCAGTATTGTTATCACTGGGCCTATCTTACAAGTGGAAAAAGTTTATGTAACTTGTCTGAGACCCAACAGCAGGGTGTAAGGAAGAGTGAAGATTAGAACAAGGTGGTTTGGATCTAGAGTCTGAGTTCTAATCAGTGACCTAGAAGCGGTGTCAGACCCTGCGCTGGACTGCAGAGCTATAACCGTGACCAAGATGCAGTCAAGGAGCACTGACACAATGCTTAAGTGCTCTGCTGCTAACCCAAAGGTGGATAGTTCAATCCTACCCAGTGGCTCTGGGGAAGAAAGATCTTAGAGAACAAAGTGCTTCCTTAAAGATTCCAGGTGACTGAACCCTATGGGGTAGTTCTACTCTGCAAATGAAATCACCATGAATTAAAGCACCACTTGTCTGTCATCTGTCAGCTTGCTGTACTGTGACAACTTCGTGGATGGCTGTGATGCTGGAAGCTACGCCCCCAGTATTGCAAACACCTACAGGGTCACCCATAAGGACACGTTTTAGCAGAGCTGCCAGACAAAGAGACACTAAGATGCAGGACTGACCACTCACTTGTGAAGTAACCGGCCTTGGAAAACACTACGGGTAACTCCGGACCACTGTTCAACACAGTGTCGGAAGATGAGCCCCTCGGATTGAAAAACACTCGAAGCTTAACCAGGGCAGGGCTACCTCCTCTAAGTAGAGTCTGCCTTAACAGTCTCAATGGAGTAAAAGCGGACTCAAAATGAGAAGAAAAAGCCCCAAACATGCACTATTCATTAGAATGTGGAATGTACGTGACAACAGGCTTGAGCACAGTGGAGTCTATAAACGATGACACAGGTTTTGATCTGCTGTTCACAGACCCATGAGCTGTAGTCTACTCGATGACACTAAGCAGTAACAACATGAATGGAAATGAACTTGATGGTGTAATGATCAAGACACAGTCCTTCTCCCCACGGAGCTAGTGCAGGACACAGAGAAATGAACGAAGGATGAGGCACGAAGAGAGGACAGGGCCTGGGGACAGAGCGGGGGTGGGGGTGGGGTGTCTTTGGTGGAGAGGACCCATAGGCTGAACTGAAGGATAAACAGAGTAGCCATGTGAGGGCCACAGGGTGTATACATGAGAAAGTGCTGTAGCATCTGCAGACATGAGAAGAATGTGAACTGTTTGGGGAAACTGACCCCAGTGTAACTAGTGCTTAGACTTGGTCTGCAAGCGTAAGGAATCTAGATTCAGTTCGGAAGGCAAGGGGGAGTCACTGGGGAAATTTAAACCAGAGGATTCCGCGGCCTATGTGCATTCCAGAATGCTCACTCTGGCTGTCATGGAGCAGCTTGCCGGAAGGGGGCGCAAGCTGTCAGCAGGAAAGCTAGCTGCAAGAGTGGCTAAGAGAAGCGCCAGTAAGAGGGGGAAGGAGGAAAGCTTGAAGGATAATTCGGAGAAAGCATGGGCAACACTGGACAGCCTGCATGCAGAGGCAAGCCTTGTCCTCAGTGGCCTGGATAAAGGAACATTTCTTAGATAATTATAATTCAGGGCCATTTAATTCTTAAAAGAAATCTCCTTAGAGATGCCTACAGAGTGGCAATTGTAAAGTGAGCCAAAAAGTACCAGGCCAGGAGACAGTTTCCCATCATTGTCTAAGGTTCCAGTCAGGGTGCCATGTAGTGAGTCAGCTGGAATCCAGGACAGGACAAAGGGTGTGTGCAATGATGTCAAAGCAAGCAATGCAACAAGCTAGGAAGATGGAATTGAACAGCCTACATCTTACCCTTCCCATATGCTAGCCACGAGTGAGCTCCCGGATAGTGCTGGGACAGAAGAGAAGACTGAATTATGTTCCTCCAAAATATGACTGCAAATCCAACTAGACCTGTGGTTATAATTCTATTTGATAAAGGCCTTTCATTGTTACATTATGGAGGCAATATTAGAGTATGTCCCAAGTCAATCTTGAGATATAAAAAGCAGAATAAGCAATCAGGAAGAAAGAACAAAGGAAGGAAAGCTATATACCACATGTTCAGCAAGGAGCCTGGCATAGAAGCTTGAATGAGAGAAGGATCCTCCCTCAGGGCAGAGAAAGAGCCCTCCTCTAAAGCCAGCGCCTGGAATATGAGCTTCTAGCCTCCTAGGAAGGGAGCTCTGGTAGGTGGCCAGGGAGGTAAAAAGTTACACTGCCAACCCAAAGGCAGGCGGTTTGAATCTACCAGCTGCTCCAAGGGAGAAAGACAGTCAACCTTTTGTTTGACTTACAGCCTCTGAAAACCTGATGGAGGGTCAGCTATGAGTTGATTCCAACTCACTGGCATAAAATAACAAGAAGCAGCCTTCCAGGAGCTCTGGTGGCTTCATCTGAAAGGACTTGCACTGCTAACTCAAAGGAGGTGCATCCTAAACTCTGAGAAAATACATTTCTGCCCAATAACAATGCGCACTTGTGTTACTATGACAACAGTACTAGATAAGACAGGAGGGGGAGACAGACTCACCAAGGTGGGTCATGGCAACTCTGACGACCCCCAGGTACAGTACCAGGGAGGACAGTTTTAAGCGAGAGCTAGTTTAATGTTCATACTGACATGGGACAAAGAGGTGCTGCCGCTAAGGTACAACAGAGACAAAAGGGTCTCTGGTTCTTGCGTAGAGCTGCCTCGTGGACACTGCGATAGCAAGACTTGGAGTCAGAGAGACCTCGGCTTGGGTGTCCTCTCTGTCACTGACAGACCAGTGGTGTGAGCCCACACAAGTGATTTAATTCTTGGCCGCTGTGAGAAATTAAATGAGTTAAGCTGAGGGAAATGTTTAATGCAATGCACCGCATGTAAGAGCAACTCAAAAAGGCTTTTCTGCTCTTTCCAGATTGTTCTCCTTCTGGGTAAACATCTAATTGGAAAAGAGAAGCAATGCCTTACCTGAAGTTATGATGAAGCTGTAGATTAGGAGTAGACGAGGTAGCCTGGTTCATTGTGCCAATGATGTAAGGGCTATGGGGGAGATAAAAGAAAAGTAAGTTTTAGGACCCTAAGCCAAGTGGGTAAGGTATTCACAGAGGCCTGTAATGTCTACGTGTCTAGGCAGAGAGATGGGCAGATGCTGCCCTGCATCTCCTGGTGCATGAGACGGTGTCTGTGCCACTATGCCTAACTGGGTCACATGGGTACACAGCTCCCCAGGCAGTGCCCACTATGGTAGTGACATTCTTCCAGGGCCCACAAGGTCTGAAATTGGCCTTTACCATTTATGATACTTGCAGTTGAGGAGTCCATTGAAGATTTCGCCCAGGGAGCTGACGTGATGCAGGTTGTCCAGGATGATGACAAGAGGCATGTCCACAGCATTGTTCTCACTGTTGCACTGGTCAGCAAGGTTGGACAAGTACTGACGCAATTCCTACAGACACCCAGAAGACCAGGGAAAGAACAAGGTGATGAGCATAATCCAGTGAAGATGGAAATGCTCAGAGCCTTCATTTCATGAAGAACAAAAGATACCTGATGACACCATATGGTCAGTGAACTGAATCACAGGGACAGGTTCAGTGCTGAAGAGAATACAAGGTGAGTTATGAGGTGAGAAAACCAAAAGCCTAAACAGCACCATGGATCTGCACAGCCATGGAATTTTATCCTTGCTCTAAAGTACTGAAGAGCAATGATGTCAGTCTGGAGACTAAGGTGTGCCTGATCCAGGCACAATTCTTGCTATGTATCAGAGAGCTGGACAATAACTAAGGATGATAGAAGGACTGATGCCTTTGAGTTACAGTGTTGGAGAAGAGTGTTGAATACACTGTAGACTGCCAGGAGAACAAACAGGTCTGTCCTGAAAAGGGTGAAACCAAGCTGCTCCCTGGAGGCAAGGATTTTATTTTTTTATTTTATTATTATTGTCTGTGTGTACCATCAAATCAGATCTGACTGGTACAAGCAGGAGATTGTCCCTCCTTCTCCAGCAGAGTATCTGGTGGATTTGAACTGCACACATCTGGGATTGCAGCACAGCGTCTTGTCACTAGGCCACCAGAGTTTGCTTGGAGGTAAGGATTTTGAGGCTCCATTTCACATACTTTGGGCCTGTGGCCAGGAGGCACTAGTCCTTGAAGAAGGACATCATGCTTGAAAGGGTGGAGGGACAGCGCAAGAGAGGAAGACCCTGGATGAGATGGCTTGATTCAGTGACTGGAGAAATGGGATTAGGTCTTTTGGAGATGATGAGATTGGCTCGGGCAGGGCAGGTTTCAGTGCTAATGTACACAGGGGCACTACGAGGTGCAGGCAATTTGATAGCATATAACAACAACTACTATCACTTTGTCAGGGAGCTCTGGTGGTCTGGTGGCAAAGAGTTGCACTGTCAACCCAAAGTTATGTAGTTCAAATTTATAAATTGCTCTACAGGAGGAAGATGAATAATCTTCTCCCGTATGATTCACTGCTTTTGAAAATCCACAGGAAAGTCAGTTATTAGTTGGTTCAGATTCTACTGTGTATACTACAACAACTACCACTTCCCCAGAAATGGCGTCATATTTGTTTACATCTCCCATCACACCAGTCTCCCCATAAGCTCCTTGAGGACAGACTGTCTCATGTATTTTTGTGTTTCTAAAGCATCTGCATGACAGTAGTATGCACAAAAGTCCTTAATACAAATATTACACAGGGGATCTGGAAACACACACAGGTTGTGATGACTAGTGCCATGGCAGACAGATGATGAAGAGTGGGAGGGTAAGGTAAATCCACATGCACAGTGGAAGGTCTGGTTAGAAGTTGAGATTAAATTTGACCTTGAGGAACTGGTAGGGCATTGAATTGATCAAAGGCCTGTTGTTGAGAACGGTGGCGTCAGAATCAACCCACAGCTGGGCCTCCAGCAGGTTTTCAGAGGCAAGCAAACAAAGGCTGACTGTGAGGAATAGAATGCAGCTGAGGGAATGGTGGAGGGGTGGGGGGTGCAGGTGAGAGAAGAAAGAGTGTAACAAGAGAAAAGGCTGAACTGGTCAGTTAAAACTTGGATCAATGCCTTTTGAACTGTGGTGTTGGCAAAGAGTATTGAATATATTGTGCATTGCCATTTGTATCAAATAACAAACACATATGTTTTGGAGGAAGAATAATCAGGATGCTTCTTAAATGCAAGGCTGGTGAAATTTGGTTCCACACGCTTTGGGCATGTTGTCAGGAAGCATCAGTCATAAGTAGAGGGAGGGTCAGCAATGGAGAGGAAGACCCTCAATAAAAATGGATTGACAGGGATAATGCCACAATGGTACTGGGTATGGCTGAGACCTTGAGGATGGTGCAGGACAGGACAAAATTTTGAGGTATTGTTCACAGGATCCACTAGAGTTGACTTGATGGCACATAACAACTACAATTCTCAGCTACTCAGTGTTAAAATGTTATCAATGTGATCTCTATTAGACTCAAAGGATGTTTGCCTTTTATTTTATTCTTTTAATAAGGAATTACTTAGAACAGGCATATGAATGAGCAAACTTTACTTTTACTTAAGGCAAGTATAAAGGAGATGGAACTTAGCATCTTGGGAGAAAAAACAGATCAAGGAGAGATTTTGAGGGAGTATTTGTAGTTTAAGGGCATAGGTAAGGGCTCATGTTTACTTAGAAATTCCAGAAAAGAAAGACAGCTAACAAGAGAGTTGGCTAGGGTGGTAATAACTGTCTGTTAAAAGTAACATCATTAACTGTTGGCATTGCCTGCCATGCATGGCTACCTTGTTGTTGTGAGGTGTCATCGAGTTGGGTATGACCCTTAGCGACCCAATGAACAACAGGCCTGAAACCTGTCCTATACTGTGCCAGCCTCACAGTCTCAAGCCCACTGCTGTAGTCACTTTGTGAATCCACCTGGTTAAGCACTTTTCTCTCTTTCCCCACACCTCCACCTTTCTAAGCATGATGTGCTCTCCAAAGAATAGCCTATCCTAACAACATGCCCGAAGTACATGGGACAAAGCTTCACCACCCTTGCCTCCAAGGAGCACCCTGGCTGCACCTTCTCCACAACATATATGTGTTCTTTTGGCAGTCCATAGGATATTCACTCTTCTCCAACACTACATTTCAAAGGCATTAATTTTTCTTCTGTTGTCTTTAGTCCCTGTCTAGCTCTCAGCAATATAGTAAGTGATTAAAAAGACCACATGTCTAAATAAAGTACACCTGGGTAGGTACCTTACATATATTAAATTAGGTTGCCTTACAATAGCCCTCTGTTGGCCTAACGGTAAGGAGTTGCACTTGCAACCCAAAGGCAAGCGGTTGGAATTCACCAACTTCTCTGAAGGAGAAAGATGGGCAATATCCTCTATGTGATTTATAGCATCTGAAAACCTGGAGCATCAGCTAGGAGATGATTCGGACTCACTGGCACATACCACCACTGCCACCACCACCACAACCATATATATATTACCTCTATTTTACAAATAAGGAAGCTGAGGTATTAACTTAAGACTGCTCAGGTAGTAGGCAGGACTACATTCAGACTTGAGTGCCAGATCCCTGTGTGTGCGCTTTACCAGGGCAGCTCCTGCTGCCTCACAGGGTGACATTTTCTTAACAGCTCCCTGGGCTTCGCTTTTAAGTCAAAACCTGGCTTGGGAGCTATGCTGCTCCTGCTGTTATGTGCCGTCGAGTTGATTACCACACATAGAGACTATGGACAACAGCTCTGAACCCTGTTCTATCCTGAGCCAACCTCATTGTCTCTGACACACCTAGCCCCATGATCATTGATTCAATTCATCTCATCCACAGTCTTCCTCTCGTGCTGTCTCTCCACCCTTCCAAGCAGGACATCCCTCTCCAAACACTGGTCCCTCCTGGACACATGCCCAAAGTGTGTCAAACTGAGTTTCAACATCCTTGCCTCCCAGGACAGCCTGGTTTCACTCTCCAGGACGGACCTGTTTGTTCTCTTAGCAAGCAGTCCACGGTATATTCAATACTCCTCTCCAGCACCCCACTGACAATAGCCTAATTCTTTATTATGTGATCCTTCATTCTTTAGTTCTCTTCACCTTGGTCTTACAGCCTCACAGATCTGACAAGGTGAGACCCTGGAACCTACCTTTCTTCACTCAGGCCAGTTGGCCAGGCTGTACTCTGAAGGTAGGTGCCCTTTCAAGGGGAAAGTGAACTAGGTCTGAGAGCACGGGCCACAGGCCTGGAGAGTCTCCTTTTAATGGGCCTTGGAGTGGCCCCTTCTCTAACCCACAAAGCTCTGATGGAGGGGCTTTGACCACTTCTCCTGCACTCTGTTCCTACATCAAAATCAGCTGGAGTCTATATATCAATGTTTGTTGTAGTACTTTTCACAACAGCAAGAAAGTAGAAATAACTGAAATATCTATCAGCAGATGGATGGGAAAACAAAGGTTGTAAGTATACATAATGGAATACTATGCAGCTGGAAAGATGAAGTCCTGATGCATGTCACAACATCAATGAACCCTGGAACCATTATACTGAGCAAAAGAAATCCACTGCAAAAGGGTAAATACAGTATGACTCCACTTACATTAAATATGCACACATATAAAATCAAAGATTACTAATAGTTACTAAGACAAGGAAAAGTGAAGGGAACATTTGTTTGTAAAATACTAAGTTAACCGTGGTGAAATGTTTAGCAAAAGGATAGTAATAAAATAATAGTGGCACAATATGAAAAGTGCTGTCAGATATCACTGAATTGTAAATGTGGAAGGCAATGGTGTGCATATTTTTCACCACAATAGCAAAAGAGAGAAAAAAGAAAAAAAAAAAGAGAGAGACAAAACAATGTTTAAAAGGTATCATGTGGGGATCTTAGGGATAGGGCAAATTCCTGGCACCACCCTAGCTCATCTAGATGACCTGGATCAACAGACCATGTAGGTGTCAAGTATAGGAACTAGCATTTTCAATTACTCCAGGGACCTCTGAGGTGAAGGAGTCATTTCCTATGTGTCTTTACTTCTTTGGTCTTTTTGCACAACCACAGAATGAATTACCCATAAATCCCCTCAAGATGAAGGAGTGAACAGGTTTGAGAAAACCTTTTTTATAACCCTGGATTGGCACTAGGTCTGACTCCACCCAAACAGGTTTCTACTGAAACAAGACGCAGCCCATTTGTTGACTCTAGTGTCCAAGACTTATGGAAGAGGCTCAGCTAGTGTCCCTTGGAAGCCAGGCTGGGAAAAAGTCATTTCCTATATTTTGGGCATGTTATCAGAGGTGCTATTCCTAGAGACGGATTTTATTCTTGAAGAGGAGCTCTCTACGAGCTTGATTCACACAGCAAGAGCAACAATGGGTCAAGTGTAAGAGTGTGAAGACGGTGTAGCATTGGGCAAGGCTCATTCTACCATACAAAGGGTTCCTATGAGTCTGTGTCAACTCGACGACACCTCACGGCAGGCTTCAGTTCCACTGCTTACTCCCAACTGAGTGGCCATAGGCACGTGCTCATCCCACTTTAAACCTAGTCACCAGTTTACTAGCAATCAGCAAGTGTAAGCTATTGCCATTGTTCTTTTTACCACAAAAGGAAGCTTTTTTTTTTTAAGGAGAATTCTGGCTGCATTTCTTCCAAGACAACTTGTCTGTACTGGCACATAGTGTGCACTTAACACATATCTGTGGAATGATATGACCCAGCAGGGATGGGAATCCAGGTTTTCCTGTCTTCTACAAATCTAGTTCAGCTTTTATTTTTTTAAAAAACAATAAAATTTACTCATGAGAAAAATTCTTGCTAAACTGGATGGCGGAATCTGAACTGGAGTTTTTAAAACTAGCACTGAGCATCATGCCTGCTGATAATGAGACAGCAATAAAGGAACTAGATCCACACAAGCACAAAGTAAATGTCTAGTTGAGAGGATCTGAGCTTTCCTTCCGGCCAGCCACAATATGCCCTCTGCCACCTGGTTTTCTATAACAAGTAAAGGCGAGAGGGGGATACTGCAATGTACCATATATACACAACAGGCAGTTTTTAGCTAACGTACTGTGCCATCTTTGAGCAAGCTCAGTACTATTTTGCTGCATCAGTCTTATGTAAAGCTAAGTGTAACTGCGCAGGTACATGGTGTAATAAGGTTAGTGATTACTGGGCAAGTGAGGCAACTTTGTTCTCAGCACTATAAAAACCATATAGGAAAATTCCTGCGGGGCTCATGGTTCAGTTCATGGTTCACCTATTGTGAACTGCAATGAAAATGATGTCTAAGATTCCTTCGACTCTTTGTGTGTTTTTCCAAGGCCACTGAACCTGGGCAGCCAGCTTTGACTGGGTACCTCAGATGCGACAGCTTATAGGAAAGGTGTAGCCTTGGTGGTGACAGTTCTCAAATGGTTTAACAGTGAGCAATGGGTCTGAGAAAGGTCCCTCACCTTGCTGGACTTGTGATCCACGTTGAAGGTGGCAATGACCCCATCTGTCAGCTCCCGGCCCTCTCGGAGCACTACGTACTCTGACAGTCGGTTGGCCAGGTAGGTCTTCCCAGTGCCACTCGGACCTGACAGGATAATTCGCCGGTGGTCTATCAGCAAGGAGACATAGCGCTGGAGGATGGGTTTGGGGATCAGAGACTCGAACACCAGAGAGTCCAGGCTGTTTTCTGCAAGCCCTGCATTTAAGGGAGAAAAAAGTGTTTGAAATCCCATAGAAAATAGAGTTTTCTGCAGGTGTCAAAGGGGAATGATTATGTCCTGAGGCCACCCCTGTCCTTGGCATCCCACTCACCTGAGGCTCTGTTCATCCAGAAACCCAGGAAAATGGAAGCAAATGGCCACTATTTTAGGACGTAACAGCCCTACACATCAGGACTCTTATGTATCTGGTTCTAGCCATGATTAATCCTCTCAGATTCACACTAATATCTGGGTCATGAGTCCTCACCGGCCCTCTGCAGAATCCCTAAGATTCTAACTCTGCTTGCCTGTCTGGGTGGGGTGTCATTATACTGAAACAATGCTGTTTGCCCAAACCAAGCCTGAGTCTTGCTCGAGCGAGTCAGCCAGGACCTTCAAGCGGTCTCCTCACCTTGCTCTCTCCTTCATACCAGGGTCACTGCTACCCATACTCAGATGTATCAGGAAGATAATGCTTTTATCTTTAAAATAAAGATGTATATATACATCCCTTTGATTTAGTGACCCAGTAGGTAAGGAGCTGCATTGCCAACCCAAAAGCAGGCAGTTTGAATGCACCCACCAGGTATTCTGCGGAAGATAGGCAATCTTCTCCCCCTACAATTGACAAACTCTGAAAACCTATGAATCAGTTCTGACTTGATGGCACACAACAACAGCCTAAAGGTCCTAGGGTGAAATGGTACATACTCTGATCTTCAAATAGAAATCTTTTCCCCCTTCCACTTTGGACAGTCAGGCTTCTTGGTCTTTACAAGAGCTATTTTCCTATTATCACCCCAAAGGGAATCTACATTCAAGATCTGTTGTCCAGAACCTAAGGCAATTCTGTTAAAACTCACCACAGAGAAACAAGAACTACAAATTAAAATTAGACTGAAGGCTGGTTACGTGGTTGTCGGATAGTAGCTTCCTTCCACGTAATGATTCACTACAAGGAGACCTTCTAATGGGTTTAGATGCTTGTTTTGGATCCTTCCCTCCCCCAGAGAACTAAACACTCTCATTCCTGTGAAGTCAGTTCTGACTAGTGGCAGCCTTCTATTCGGCTTCTGACGTGCACATTGAGAAGGAGGGAAGGAGAATGCCCAACTTTCTCCCAAGGAGCTGCTGGTGATTTCAAACTTGCCAGAGGCACAAGCAATGGTTTCGCAGCACCAGCTGGCTTTGGATGATGTCACCAGAGCTCCCTTCTCTAACTGAAGGTAGCCCCTCAAGGCAGTGACTGTTCCAGAAAGATTCCGATCAAAGTCCTCACACCATTCGTCTACTGGGACAGCTAAAGACATTCCTAATACCAAACTCAATATGTGGCGCCCTGGTGGTGCAGTAGTTAAATCCTGTGCTGCTAACCAAGACTGGCAGCTTGAATTCCCCCAGCTGTTTGCTCTGTGGAGAAAAGACCTTACAATTTGCTTCTGCCAAGATTTACAGCCTTTAAAGCCCTACTGGGCAGTTCTACTTTGTGCTGTGAGTTATGAGTTAGGAAAAGAGCTATGATGGCACAGGAGCTGTACTTTTAACCCTACGGCAGTGCTTCTCTGGTGGTTCAAATCCAACAGGGGCTCTGAGCAAGAATGATGGGTAATTTCCTTTCAATTTACAGCCCCAGAAATCCAAAGGAAGGTCTGTTCGAATTGACAGTAGTGAGTGATGAGTTGGAAATGAATTGACAGCACACAACAAGAAATGCAAACCTAAATGCCAACTGTAGAGGCCTAGGCCACAAATCTCGAGTCTTTAGCCTAAAACCTCCCTCCCTGCATGCATGTTGCTGTTTTTAGATTTTGCCATAAACAGCCCTCTGGAAGTGACTACTTCTGTGGAAACATCTCACTTCAGAACATGCTAAACTACCTAGCACCATAAAACCCATCACTACACCCGATCTGATCTCACCTCAGAAGCTAAGCAGGATTCGGCCAGGTTAGTGCTTGAGAGGAACGTTAAACCACACTTTCTTTCGTGCAGCATCACAAAACTGGATCATCTGCAGCTCACTGATTTCTTTGGATGCAAATACTTGCACATTAAAGCAATTACTGCTTTAATACATCTCTATGTTATTTTCCTATTTTATTCTGAATTTCTGTATCAACATTCACTTGGCAGATTTGTATAAAATTTCATTTCCTTCCTTTCTTCTTTTTATTTTCTTTTTCTTAGCAACACGCTGACTTTTATACCAATGTTATGCAGGTTCTGTGAAAATGAGACTATTTTCCGGATTTCTCAGTGTTCCAGAACAGTGTAAATTGCTACCCAATATGTGCTCAAAAGTTTGAAACAAATTCACCTGTGAGACTCCAACTACAACAACAATCCTTGGGTACATTTTAGTGCTTTGAAGGGAGAAGTGTCAAGTAAACAGAAGAGTCAGGTATCATACATAAAAATAAAGATGCTAAACCACGGTGTTCTGACAGAGGCAACAGACGCAGTGGCTCCATAGTGGGGTGGAATATTCTAACAGATGCAGACCATCTTATCACTGCTCCTATTGAGGATGGAGCTGGTCTCAGCCATAGGCCTCTCCTGTTACTCCTTGTGCTTATGTGTCCACTTTAAAGCAATTTGCACATTGCAAACATAAAATACAATTGGAAAGCATGACTTTAAAAGTTCTTGTAAAGGGTTCTTATGGTGGATAACTGGTGTATAGGGATATCTAGCATCCCCTATATCCTTCCCCTCGACAGGAAAATGCTTTTTTTGTTATTGGAAGTCCATTGCAGATGGTTTAGTGGGTCACCCACAGCTACGAGCTGTGAGGAGGTTTGTCCAGAAGCCTCTCGTTGATCCACCAAGACTGATACTGAGTCTGGACAAGATACCGAGTATCTGACTCACTGTGGCCAGGGTCATATCTAGGAATTCTTTGCCATACTTTTCCAGAGAGACATTCTCCTTTTTTTAGGTTATTCAGCTAGAATTCCTATACTAATAAAATTTCTTCAACCATGTGTTGTTGTTGTTGTTGATTGCCTTCAAGCCAAACAGGACTCACAGCGACCCCACAAACAAAAGGCCTGAAGCCCCTCTACAACTACTGACATTTATAAAAGCTCATAAGAGTTTCTGGAGGCAAGTTGTTTAGGAAGTGGATGCCACTCCTATACTCGACTATCTGGCAAACACAGAAGTGTGTAAGCTTTAAGCACGGCTGGATCCGGGTATTCAAGCAATGTCATCAGAACTAGGCCTATCTCAGCCTTGTTCATCATTGCTTTCCTTGTTTTTGTTTTGTTTTCTTAAAATCACTGCACATGGTTGAAGAAATAACAACACAAAAACAAGGAAAGCAATGATGAACAAGGCTGAAGTAGGCCTAGTTCTGATGACATTGTTTTAATACCCAGATCCAGTTGTGCTTAAAGCTTACACACTCCTAAGTTTGCCAGGCAGCTGAGTATATAAATGCCTTTTTTCCCCTCCAAAATCTAAGTTTTGAGTTCATTTCTATCACTTACAGCTCAGTGACAGAATTGTGGAAATTCACTTGCTAACTTGATAGGTAGGGAGCATGAGTGGTCTAGTGGGTAAGGAGTTATGCTCCCAACACAAAGGCAGGTGGTTCGAATCTACCAGCTTCTCTGAAAGGTAGGGATAAGCAATTTTCTCTCATGCAATTTAAAGCCTCTGAAAACCTACTGGAGGGTCTTGGAAGAGTCCTTTCAGAGTTGATGCATTTTTACTCTGCAACATTTGGAGTCATCATGAGTCGGATTTGACTTGACGGTAATGGATTTTTTTCTCTTTAGTAACATGGCCAGCTGGTTGAGGCTCCAGCAGTATATGTGTCATCTACCACCAAGAGAGAAAGGCTCTTTATTGCTACTAAAGGACCATGACGAGGGGTACACTAGTATTGTCTTTTCCAAAAGCCTAACAACCAGTAAAAATTTTCAAGCAACTTAAAAATTGCCCTGTCCAAAGTGCAGTCATGATCAATGTCTCATAGAGTGGTAACCAGATAACCTCAAGATTGATGCATCTAGTACAATATTGACCAAAGTCTGTTCCTTAGGTGGGTCATACAAGATAGGAAAAAAACAGATTTGCAGTTACACAAATGGGATAAAATGGACTTTGTAATATCAGAAATCCTTCATGTACCAGTGCATTCCTGTCTTCCTAGTCCAGCCTTTGATTCCAAAGGGGTTAATAATGTAGTTCCCCCAGCTTATTTGGCCGTGGAGTCTTATTCTCTCTAAAAAGGACTTGGTGGGACTAGAATTCAATGGAGGAAACACTGGCCTAGGGCCTAATCTCTCTGGGAGGTAAAGCAACTGGAAGCTCCAGCAGTGTCAAGTGGGCAAGAACCTGGGTAGTTTTATCAGGATTCTCAAAGTAGCTCTTCTGTAGCCTAAACAAATCATGGTTCCTCCATTTGTAGGATGGGACCACGTCCAAGGGTTGCTGGCAAGAGCAATTAATTGGCTAAGTGTTAATTAATTAAGTGAAAGTAGTAAGCTCTTTTCAACAGGGTTATTAAGAGTCCATCATCATCTCAGAATCATAAGGCTAATTGGACCCTCTGCTATATAATTTAAACAATAAACTATAACCATTTACTCCGACAGTGGTTGGAAAACGCAAACGGATCAAATTTCCAAGTTGACTGAAGAGCTGTGGTTGAAGCAGGGTTGCAGGAACCCTGTGTACATACACACAAACAAAACTGTGGTCATCATTTCCTATGCCAAGTCACAAAAAAGAAAACAATGGTTCCTGAAAGCTCCAACGCCTGCAAGAGGTCACGTTACCTTTGACGGACACAGAGATGGTCGTGTTCTCCCCAACCAGATAGCCACAGGGGAGCAGCTCGGGGGTCTCCGAAGTGTTGGTACGTTTGATCTCCCCAATGCTATAGCCGAGCACACTGTCGGAATTCAGCCCTAGCTGACTCACTGGGTCGACATGAATGATGTATTCCTAGGAAAAAAAAATAAACAAAAGCCCCATCAAAGATGTGGCTCCGGTCTGCCCATGACTCATGTTTTCATTGGATGATTCATGGCCATCATCTCTTCTCTCTGGGACAATGTCAGAGTTGAAACAGAGCTGTGGAGCGAGGGGGGAGAACTGACTCTCTATGGGGATAATGTCCTAGTATCGTGGGCTTCTTAAACCACACATTTATTTGGTTAGTGATGGCGGGGGGGGGGCGGGGGGAATAAAAAGGAAAGCCCTAACAGGATCGTAAACGTTTAGTCTGGATGAACCAAGCACGGAAAAGTCGGGCTGTGTTCTCTAAGTTCAGCTTGAGCCCTGAAGATAGCAGGGTCTATGAACAGCGCTGGAAAACTCATGAAAATATTACTCTGATAAGAAATCTCTCCACCAGCCCTTTCTCCTGACCCAAGGCAAAAATCATGCTGATGATAAAGAGAGTAAAACCTAGAGCTGTTACAGAAAAGTAGCCTTAGATCTTCCAAAGGGAAAATGTGTAGAATTTGGAAACTGTTCCTTCTTAAGTGACCAGCAGTCCACTGACTTGACAGCCTCCAGCCATTAAACCCAGAGATCAGGGGGAGGCAAATGACAGCTTTCTGTCTTAAAGTCCTGTTCTCTCACTAAGATGCCTCTGAAGGGGTTTTCAGATCAAGTCTGTCTTTTAATCCAAGGGCATCCCACCTGACTGTCAGCCGAAATCATTTTGGGTCAGGTAGGAGAGCTAATCTGCCCTTAGCCACTCACACCTCCTGCCTGTTGACATTTCTACAGTCTGACCCACCACGATGAGGGATAACCCTTGGCCAAGAAATAGAATTTTCTCTGTGGGAAGCCATGGGAGTTGGTGCTAGAAAGAGACCAAAGCGTACAAGTACAGGCCAAGTTTGGAAGTTGGGTTCATTTAGCTGGACCTGCATGGCCTAGTTCGAGATCCATGGTCTTGGGCAAGTGACCCACCCTGAGGCTCAACTTTATTCACTAATGGGAAAATAATAAAATCTTCCTCCCAAGATGGAGATAAATCAGAGTAAGGTAACTCAAGGGATTTGCCTGGTCTCTGGCATAATTAACATGGGTTATTAGTACTCAGGTGGTAGAAGTAATAAACAATGGTGTTTACAGACTTCAGGACACTACAAACATCTTTTCAAAATCACCCAGGTCCCCATATCAGCTCTGATGCCATACCCGTCTTCTTGAAATACTTACTTTGAACAGCCGTCTAACCACCCCATCGAGCACATCCCACTTCGTCTTGCCACTAACTCCAATGCAGCCAATAAGAAAGAGATGTGGTCTGGAATCCTAAGGGTAAGGAAATGTACGCAGGTGAAAAACAAGCGGGTCTTTATGGACATCATTCAGCAGAGGACTTAGATTGCCTTAGAACTCCACCAACAGTCAGGGAATAAAAGTCTTACTTGTTTCAACACTAGGTACAAGTTAGAGTGAATACAGCATCCTTAAAAGCTTATCTTCATCTATATAACTTTCCTATTTCTAAAGCAGCAACATATGGGCCAAGGTAAGAGGGTCATTTCCTTGAGATCTGGAACATTCTGCCGAGTGAGTGCTTGACACAATTAGTGAATCACACGCATTTCCTTCTGCCTGGAATGTGCTGTAGCATCCTTTCCAAATCTTGCTTAGAAACACGTATCTTTTCCTAGAAGCCTTCAACAACTCACCCCATCAGGTTAGAGTTCACAATTGCTTCCACAGTTCTGTATACAGGTTGTAGAATATAGTCTTCATTCATTTGTTTATTCTTAGATATTTCTGTCTTGAAGGAGCCCTGGTAACGCATAATGCACGAGACTGCTAACAAAAAGGTTGGCAATTTGAATCCTCTGGCTGCTGCTTGGAAGAAAGGTGGACCATCTCCTTCCATAAAGATTTATAGCCTCAGAAAGCTGGTGGAAGGGTGATGAGCCAGAACTAAGTACAACGGGTTTATATCGTCATATTCAGTTATCAGGTTTATCTCTGCTGAATCTTAAACTTCTTTAGGCTAGAATATGTCTCTATTTTGGCTTTAAAACAACATTTATTGCCTTTCTTTGTAGTTAAACATTAAAAAAACTCAGTTTATAAAATTTGTAAAACTCTGAGAAGTTCACAAAAAATTATATATTTTACTTGTTTTACGTTTCTGCCTACAGGGCTCTGCAGAGTGGAGGCTAACTAATTACACAGATGAAAGCAAAACTAGTGGACTATTCCATACAGTGGGGTTTTAACTATCTCACACACTATAAAGATAGAATTAGGAGAGTGAGGGGGAACATCTGGCAGTTAAGCAAACTCAGCAGAGAAAAGAACACACAGTCTGGGAATCTGATGACCGGACCCTATGACTTACTCAAGTCAACGATACCTAGATTTTGAGATCTCTCGTTTGAAACATGGAGAAAATACCCAGTCAACTTCACCTGGACGCTGTGGTGATCCAAAATGATTAACTGAAAGCAACTCTTAAGATCTGTTTATCTTGATTTTCATGACAATGCAATGAGATCAGAGGTGTCACCTGTACTTACTTGAATGAGGGATCTGAGTAGGGGAATGAGAGAACGAGGTTCCACTTTGCAAATCCAAATACTCTCTACCATCTAAGTTAGATGATTGTAAAATCCCTGCTAACCTCAAAATTCTGGGTTTCTCCCCTTTAGTGACATTAAAGAGCCAACAAGTAGACTTCAAGTAGAATCTTATGGCCAAAATATTTTTACTAAAGATCCTGTCTTGGCTAGAACTGTGAGCCCTTATATGAAGTCCTGGTGGTGCAGTGAAGCACTTGGACTGCTAACTTAAAGGTTGGGGTTTGAATCCACTAGCTGCTCTGCAGAAAGAAGATGAGAACCTGCTTCCATAAAGAGTATCATTTAGGAAACCCTATGGGCAGTTCTGTTCTGTCTTACAGTGTTGCTAGGAGTTGGAATTGACTTGATTCAGCTGGGTTTAGGTCCCCGCCTGGAATCCTTGGATTATGCAAATGGTCAATATTCTCAGCTGGTAACCAAAACAGGAGTGGCTTCAGTTCACTCCCAGGTGTCTTGGAAGAAAGGCCTGGCAATCTACTTCTGAAGATACACTTGAGAACCTTATGGATAAGAGTTCTACTGTGACATAAGAGGAGTGGCCCTGAGTTGGAAACAATGCCTCTATACAGATTTGATTGCGGGTGGCTCTCCTCAGTACTGGGACTATGCTAGTTTATTGGCTAGAAATACTCAGAAAGAACAGACAAAACTCAGGAGCCTTGACATCATGACCCAAGAGTTCTTTACCTGCTTAAGTGAGAGATGGTGACTCACAGCATTGTTCGGATTTAATCACTGATTAAAAATTAACTTTCACTCTCAGTCTCCACCCATAAATAGTGTCTGGTGGTAGGACAGCCCGTAGCCTCTGGAGGAGAATGGATACTGGATCCCCCAGACCTAGCGAGTCAGAACACCCAGGGAATGTTCACTGGCTTGGCCACCTGGGTCTGCTTCCTCCTGATAAAACTGGTCCTCTGGGTCAGCTAGAACTGGCCAGCTTAGTGCTGCTGTCCCCTCTGTGCTAAGTGTGCTTAGCTGCCTTTGATGTCTCTAGAAGGATATTAAATTCAGAAAAGCATTTCTATCTCATGTTAGTATTGAGGTAATTACAGGAAAGTGCGGTGTGGGACCATAGTTACTGTTCTCTATTGGCCTTTCCAAATAAAGAAAGGGAAAGGGTTTAACTGTGTCAAAATGCAGCTGGGAATTACGGTTAGTTAAGACAGGCGTTAGCAGTGTTTTGAAATCACCTTAGGCTCCGAAGTGCTATGGTTTTAGGATTAAATCCCTGAACTAGGTATTGCTACCTGGGGACAGGGCAGGCAGAGCAGGGAAAGGGATCCAACTAACCTCCTTCCACTTCATTTCCTCCTGAAAGCTGACAACTATCTTAACATGCCTGCCTCCTTCCTTCCGAGCCGAGCATTCACCAGTGTCATCCAGCAACATGTCTGCGAATGGAAAACATCAACAGCCTTAGGCACATGGGACAGCAAAGCCGGCTTCCTGACACCCCCGCTGCTTGCTGGCACACAGCAGCGGGACAAACCAGGTGTCGGGCGTGTGGGGAAAGGAGGTGAAGGTGTAGGGGAGAGGGAGACGGGAGCATGGAGAACACAACCACAAAAATCAATGGTGGATCAACCGAGGAGCCAGCAGGCTGACAATGCACCTAGCCAAATGGAAGTGTGAGGAGGGAGGGGGCTCAACCAAAACAACAGCGACAGCAGCATCATGGAGGAAAAAAAGAAAAGCGTCAGCCTTGAGATGCTTAGAAAGAAAAACCTCCATCACGTTCACTGGTTACTGCACCAGCCTGGGATCCATCCTGAAGGCAGGATGGTTATGGACAAAGCCATTGCCCCAGCAGGGACCTGCGACTATGGGGTTTGTATGCAGCATTCAGCTTGCAGGTCAGCCTTTTAAAATGGACTAAACGGAACTCAACATGGTGGGGGAGGGGGCCCAAGCTCAGGGCTTGGAGAATCTGGGGCGCTGGAGCGAAGCATGATAGCAGTCTAACGGCTGGGCTCATGTTGGTAGCAGACGCACACCCAGACACACGCACGCCTCCACTGCACACACGCCTGCTGCCTCTCCATTTCATCTGTTGTTCTGCTTAGACTGGGGCTCTCAGAGACTGAATGTGTCAGCTGCAGGCTCAGGCCTGCTCCTGGCCCGGCGGTACCACTCACCCAAGCTGGTTGACTCGGAGAGGTTCAGGCCGTGCTGGGAGAGGCCCATGGACTGCCTCGGGGAGGCTGAGATGGACACCTGGGAGGGAGCCCGACTGCAGCCGCTGCCTTGAGACTCTGACTTCAGTCGGTCATTCTCAGCTTTTAGCTTCTCTATTTCACTCTGCAAAGAATAAAGGAGAAATACACTTACTAGGTAGGTAGTATGTGAATAAGCCTTTTATGGAGGGAAGCCTCAAACGTTTCCTGATAGGATCAAGTTGCTACTGCAGCCATGGCAGAGTATGAGCAGAAACACCATCAGAGACGCAGCAGTATTTGCTCCTTTGCAGCGACACATGAGGTGTGCTTGGCAGGGAAAGAAAGGTTCATTCCTTCAGAGCACTGGCTTTTGAAAAGACCAAGACAGTATTTCCCAAACTCTGCTTCCTAAATGTTAAATAAAAAAAGTCTTATATTTCGGAATTTCTCATGTAATCAGTGTCCCGGGCAACCTTCTTTAGGACATGCTGATTTCCATTGAGGTCCCAATTTGCATACCTTAGAAGGTCTGAATGCTTATGAACTACCTACTTCGTGGGAGGCACTAGTGCTCAGGTCAGAGAACAGGTGACTGAAATCAGAGACGAGTAATTCAGAAAACTTAAATTTCTTCAATCCATGGCAAAAGAAGGGAGAGGTTACTAGAACAAATCTGTAGGAAGCTAGCTGACAGCATTAAATTCCTATTGGAATATTTTGCCAAGGGAAAAAGCAATGGTTTTTTTGGAAGAAGGATCTGATTTAGATCTGCAGAGAAAGCTACCAGTGGAAGAATGCTATGGAACACAGGTTCCCAAGGGTCTGCAAAGGGAACCCTTCATGTTTCCGTGGCTGGTTAATAGAACCTGGAAGGGAGGGAGGAAGGTTAACAGTCACTACAGAAGGACTTGAAGGCCAAGCAAAAGGAACCACAGCTTATGCAGAAGGCAAAGCTGAAACATGTTAAGCACAAGAAAGGAATTGATGAAATTTCTTAGACTTTCAAGAGATTGTCCTCAAATTGAGAAAATCCCTATTAAAATTTTCTTGTATGTTAATATTTGACATTTTCCCCCTATCAAAACTGGAAACGGTGAGCTCTGGTGGCCTAGTGGCAAGAAGCTGCACTGCAATCTCAGAAGTACACGGTTCAAATCCACCAGATGCTCTGCTGGAGAAGGAGGAACAATCTCCTCCTGTATCAGTCAGATCTGATTTGACAGTACACACAAAAAATAATGAAATAAAATAAAATTTTTAAAAAAACCCACCAAAAAAACCCCATCTGGAATCATTCTGTGCATGCTGTTATTTTTCCAGCTTGACTTTTAACTTAGAAACATGTTGTGAATATTTCTACATCCACTAAGCATCACTTAAAAAAGAAATAAATAATAAGACCGGTCTTTGAGCATTGTGTGGGAGAAGACGAAAACAAAGAGACAGAGGCTGGCAGGGTGAGCTGCTGCCACCAGATTCCAAGGTAACCCCCGGGCTTGGCTCCTCCCCAGAAGATCCTGGGCGCAGCCCATGCTCCTGTGCTCTTACCTGCATCCTGTTCATGGCCTCCCGGAGCTGATCAAGCTGGTGGGCAGAGCTGAGGGCTTCCAGGCGGATGTCTGTGAGCTTCATCTCCTTGTCTCTCAGCTCATTTCGGAGCTGCATAACTGTCTCGGCTTCACTGTCTATGCACTCAGAAATGCTAGGGAAAGAGGAGAGGTATTAGCAAGGGCAGCTCTGAGGCGCTCCTCGTAACCACGAGGCTTGATCAGCAGTAACCACGGGTCACCAGCTGCCTGGTGCTTCCTGGAGGTGGCAATCCCCCAAAAGCACCTGCAACTCCCTCATTTTACTGACTGAACTCCAACAAATTGAAGGACTTTGATGCATTTTTCATCAACATGCTACATATGGACAAATAGGAAATTGCAAAAAAAGAGCGGTAACCTTCATTTTTTTGTTTTTTTATTATCAATTTCAATGAAAATCTAGAGAGATTTTGGAATTCCATTCATTCGCTATTGCACTTTTCTCCCCACCCACCCCACCCCATCCCCACTACCATTCCCAGTTCGCTCCTCTCCTTGAAAAGCAAAAGAAAAACTCCTTCACTGGTACACAATCCCCTCCACACACCCTCACCCCCAACCCCACCTCAAGTATACTCCACTCTGCAACCCTCATTCTGGACTCATGATAATCATAATGGTCTAAAATATATTACTTTCAGTTTTTAACACTTCACAGCAGCATACTCCTGGTATCTTGTCCAGGCAGACACCAAGAAGGCTAGTTGTTGTTGTTACGTGCCATAGAGTCGCCTGCAACTCAGTGACCCTATGTACAACAGCCCTAAACCCTGCTCTATCCCTTGCCTGTCTTATTGTCTCCAATACACCTATACCCATTACCCTGTCACTGAATCAATCTATCTCATTGAGGATCTTCCTCTCCTGTGCTGTCCCTCCGCCGTCACAAACATGATGTCCCTCTCCAAGGACTGAACCCGCCTTGCAAAATGTCCAAAGTATGTTAGATGAAGCTTCAGAATCCTTGCCTCCAAGGAACAGCCAGGCCTCACCCTCTCCAGGATTAACTTGTTTGTTCTCCTAGCAGTCCATGGTATATTTAATACTCTTCTCCAGCACCACAGCTCAAAGGCATCAATTCTCCATCTATCATCCTTAGTCATTGTCCAGCTGTCTGATGTATAGCATGTAACTGCCAAGACCATGGCCTGTATCAGGCACACCTTAGTCTCCAGACTGACATCATTGCTCTTCAGTACTTTGGAGAGGTCTCTGACAGCAGACTTTCCCAATGCAGTTCATCTTTCAATTTCCCGATTGCTGGTACCAAAAGTGTTAATTGTAGAGCCAAGCAAACTGAAGCATGGGACATTTTGAGTCTGAGGATCAAATGACCTTCTATGCTAGATACAAAAAGGTGAGGAAAAATGGGGCTGTTTTCATAGTTAAACAGTCATTTCTAGACTGTCTTGAAATACAATGTTCTGAATGACAGGGTAATACTCATATGCATACAAGGAAGTCCAGTGAATTACTATCATCATTCAAATATATGCAGAAACAACCAGAGCCAAAGAAGAGGAAATAGAAGATTTCTACCAACTTTTGCAGTCAGAGATTGATCAAACATACAATCACTATGCATTAATAATAATGGGTGACTGGAAGGCAAAAGTTGGGAATAGAGAAGAAGGATCAGCAGTTGGAAAACATAGACTTGGTGACAGAAATGAAGCTGGAGATAGAATTTTGCACACGCGCCCCCCACCTCGCTGCCTTAGAACTGCACAGAGGTCTCCCACCCCCCACCCGACAGACCTCCTTGGGCTCTGCTCCCACCAGGACCCTGATCACAAGCTAATGGGAAATCTTGATTGTGGACCAAATCGCAATAAAAACCTTTCCAGAAAAAAATAATAATAATTTCTTCATTACAAATACATTTTATAAGAAACATAAACGCAGGCTATACACATGGATTTCACCTGATGGTATGCATAGGAATCAGATCGATTACATCTGTGGAAAGATTCACTGGAGAAGCTCAATATCAGCTGTGAAAACTAGGCCAGGTGCTGATTGTGGACCAGACAACCAACTACTCATATGCAAGTTCAAGCTGAAGCTAAGGAAAATTAAGTACACAGGAACCAAAATTTGACCTTGAGTCTATCCCACCTGAATTTCAAAACCATCTCAGGAACTGGTTTGAGGCCTTGAACATTAATGAGTAAACACCAGAGCTGTGGGAGGATATCAAGAATATCATCTAGGAGGAATGCAAAAGGTCATTAAAAAGACAGAGGAGGAAGAAAAGACCAAGATGGATGACAGAAGAAACTCTAAATATGGCACTGGAGTGCCGAGAAGCCAAAGCAAAGGAAAGAAATCAAGATATTAAGGAGTTGAACAGAAGATTCCAGAGGGCAGTACGGGAAGACAAAGTAAAGTGAAGTGAAGTACAAAAGGCTGGTGTTCCCGGGGCGGGCTGCCTTCAGCCCCCGGCTCAGGGCGAGCCGTTGCGGCCCTCAGGGTGAGCTCCTCAGTCCCCAGATTGTGCCATCTGACCCCTGGGTGGGGAAGGAGAAGGAAAAAAAAAAGAATGCCTAGGGTATCCAGAGAATGTTACCTAGGCCA